TCCCTGCACAGTGACCGTGCCCTGGTCTGGAGCCCCCTCTGGGCAGCTCTGCACCGCAGTGCCCCGTCTCTCTCAGATTGTGCAGATACCTCGGGAAGGTGGTCAGGGGAGAATCCTGACTGGAGGTGTGGATTAATGAATGGGAAGAGCTTTGGTCTTTGGGGTTCCCAGTTCCTCTTGGTCTGTGGGGTTTCTGGTTTCTTTGTTCTTTTTCTATAAAAAATCTATGGGGGCCGGGCTCCGTGGCTCACGCCAGTAATCCTAGCACTTTGGGAGGCCGATGCGGGTGGATCATCTGAGGTCAGGTGTTCCAGACCATCCTGGCCAACATGGTGAAACTCCATCTTTATCAAAAAAATACAAAAATTAGCCGGACGTGGTGGTGCGCGCGAGTAATCCTAGCTCCTCAGGAGGCCGAGACAGGAGAGTCCCTTGAACTCAGGAGGCGGAGGTTGCAGTGAGCCGACGTCCCGCCATTGCACTCCAGCGAGGGCAACAAGAGTAAAACTCTGTCTCAAAAAAAAAAAAGTATGGAAGTCACAGAATAATATTAAAGCACTTAATCATAAAGTGATTCAAGTATTGTAGAGCACTCACCTATGGTTTGTAGTTTGTGGTCTATGGGAGAAGCTTGAATAACAGACTTTCATAAGGTGCACGAGGAAAAATTTAGTAATTGGATAGGTACAGTTACCTAGTCTCTTGATTCATACTATCATGTTGACAATTTTCTAGTTATATAATCGGAGTTTAATTGGCAGTTTATAGTTGGTTAAGCCCAAATTTTGTTTTCTCCGATATAGTATAATTTACCAAAAAAATGCATTTTAGTTAGATTTTTTTAAAAAGGAGGACTCCAGGGGCTAGAGCCACCTCAGTCTAATTGTCTGCCATTGAATTATTTTCACAGTCCACAGGGGACTTCTTTTCCCCGACATTTTTCATATGTGCACCAAGCAGGGTCTCAAGTCTACCCCTTACTCCTTGTTCTTCCAGCCTTAACTATGATTTTCAGTAAAATACTAAATTTCTAGTGTCATTGACATTTCCAAATGCCAACTTCCCCTCACTAATACACATTATCAACTATTTGTCCTTTATTGTACCTTTGATTGTATTTCAATTAATAATTTTTTACCAAAGCATTGGACCGCACTATTTTTTAAATTGTCTTCTGTTAGTCAGTATTTCTCATGAGAAGAAAGCAAATAGTAATCCCTGACACTATATTGTAAAAAAAAATCTCTGTGCCTATTTCTTTTATCTTCCCTAGGCACAGAGCTCTTATCAGAATGTTGTTGGGTCAAGGTTTCCATTTGGTAACTTGATGGGGTGATGGGTCATTAGCCACTCTTCAGTTTTTTCCTGGTCCTGGGTTTCAGTACTGTCTGAGGATAAACCAAGATGCCCACCATGGTGGCTGTGTTGGCTAGAGTGTCTCATGAATATCAGCTCCTGGGGCATTGTCTCTCATAGACAACCTGAGGTATAAAGTATATCCTCTCAAGAAAGCAGGTAGATACCCTGGGACTGAGCACAATCTCCTGGCGTACTCTTTCTTTGAAAAGCTAGCTCTTTGAGACATTAAGATTGACTTCACCCAATCCAGCTTCTATTTCTTGGAGACACATTGCTGGTCAGTCAAACAGATGCTGGTATTAAAAGAAAAACACAGAAATAATTTTTGCCTGTTGGAGTCTCTATGATTTGTGAAAGAAAAAATAGTATCTCATAAGACAGAAAAATAAAGTCACCCCTGTGAGGTGGCGCAAGAACTTGCAAAGTAAAAGGAACTTAGAGCAGTCACTGCGGTGTAATTGCAGTGTCTCTTGAGAGGTTGGTCATTGAGAACTTTAGTGAGCAGGAGGGGGTGGGAGAATCTTTCAAGTGATTGAATGGCCTGACTTGACATATAGGTCAGACACATGTGTTTTCTAATCGGCACTGTCACCCTGTGGGTTTGTCACCTTGAAAACATTTTTTTTCACCTATTTTGACTTTAGTTTCTTGTAACTGTAAATTGCATTTAATTAGTAAAATTTAAAAGGCATAAAAATATTAGCACAGTGCATAAAAGAAGTGGGTTTTAGAAAACAATTAAAATCTAATCATATATTCCATTTGTTAAGAATTCTCTTTTGGGGTCGGGGTTACAAAAAAAAAAAAAGAATTCTCTTTTGCCTTTTCTTTGTCAGAGTGACTTTAAACATTTTCTCAGATGTGCTTATGGCTGGGTGATTTTAAACAGAATCCCAAGTCTTAGCTTTTAGAATGCTAACAAGGAAAAATTAGAAAAAAGATCTCTTCAAGGCTGGGTGTGGTGGCTCGCCCCTGTAATCCAAGCACTTTGGAGGCCAAGGCAGGCAGATCACCTGAGGTCAGGAGTTCAAGACCAGCCTGACCAACATGGTGAAACCCCGTCTTTA